CCCCCACAGCCAAAACCCACCCCCTGGCCCAGACTGGGGCCCGCAGCTGCTCTGCCACACTGGTGCCCCGGGGACCCTCGCCTTTCCCTAGCCCACCCCAGCCCTGCATCTCCTCCATTGCCAAAGTCATTGTAACGCCCGGGCTCTGTCCCCGCGGTGCCGGCATCACGGGCTCTTTGCAGGGCAGACGTGCTTGGCTCCAGCTTCCCAAGGAGCCTCCTTGACCGGCTGGAAACGCCCTGCTCCCCTGCCTGCGGAGGCGATGCTGCTGCGGCCGCGCAGCCGGGCAGGAGCTCTCCCCCCACGCCAACTGGCACAAACAAAACCGGAGCCTCCCCAGAGGCCGGCCGTGCCCTGGGCGACGTGCGGCAGCCTTTGTCTTGCCTTCTCCTCGCTGTCTCCTGCTCCCTGGCAGGTGATGGGGTGAAAGCCAGTAATTGCTCTAAGTGCGATCAATAAATCAAGGTAATAGAATTACATTTGCTGTTGCCATATTAGGAACCGCTTCTCTGCTCTCTCCTCTCTCCGCCCTCCTTGGTTTTGTTTTTAAACCGCTGCAGAGCACTGGAACGAGTTGGGCTCCTCCGTGCTCTCGAGGTGGCTCCAGCAGGGACTCGGGTCCCTGCCCGGTGCGGGCGGCTCTGGGTGCACATTCCTGGGGGTTGGCCAGAGGGAAGGCACTGGGTCCCCGTGGAGGTCATGGGTGTTTTAGTTTTACCCCATGCCACTTGCAGAGCACTCTGGGGACCGCGAGCACCCCGTGGCACGGGGACAGGACTGGGCACCCTGCGGCGTGGGGACGGGAGCAAAGCCAGGCACAGAGCAGCAGCCCCCATTGGCCCCGTGCCCGCTGCAGCAGCGCCTTTGCCTGCAGCCCTGGGGAGATGGAGCTGCTCTCCTCTCCTGCACAAGTCCCTGGTGCCCGGGGGATTATTTTCATCTCATTTGCAGCCGGTCTCGGGCTCTGGAGAGTTAGCTTCATGCCAAGGGCTTTCCCCCGGCTGCTTTTAATCATTACTTAAAGGAAAGCCTCCATGAATAAAGGCTGGATCGCAGCCTCGGGCGCTCCGTGGGCAGCGGGGAGCCCCACAGCATCTTGTCACCCCACCGCTCTGCGGGGCAGCGTCCTGCTCCACCGTGACATCCCTCCAGTCTCCCCCGTCACCACCGCATGTGCACGCTGGTCAGCAGCCCCACAGCCCCCGGACCGAGCGATGCTGCTGGGGCGGCCAATTCGAGCGGGGGGGGCGAGCAGGGCTGGCCCCCGCCCTGCCACTCACCAGCGGCACCCAATTTGCATAACTTTTCTAAACTGTGTCTGATTAATCTCCTTACGCTTCTGGCACTGCATTAGGGGAATCAACATGAAGTGCTCTCCCATCCGTGGAGGATTAATTAGGGGAGAACACGTGCGCGCACAGCCAAGCACGCGAGTGACCCGCCAGCCGAGCGGCAGCGAGGGGTGGCCTG